TTTTAAATAAAACCAACATTTTCCACAAAAAATCAGGTTCACAATCTTTTGGCTAGAAATTATTTCGTATTATGGTTTATGCCAATGTTGTAATCTAGTTCACAGACTCCTTATTCTGATATATCACTTCTATTTTTAAAAAATGTGTTATCGATGCATTCTAAGGAATTTGGCTAAATCGACTGTTTCCTTTAGAGTATTTATATTCATTGTTAAATCTCCTGTGTCCTGTTGCCTTTTATGGGTTTTCTTGAATACTTGGAATAAAACTGTCAAATGCTAGCTGTAATTCTTGGCATAGTCTTCCCTGGTGGGATTGTCCTCAGAGATCAAAGTTTCTGTTGAGCCAAAGCATTCAGTAGAAGCATTTGATTGAATTGCATGTTTGGGTTTTGAATTAATTAATTTCTTCTGATCAAATCGTTTGGTTGATATATCATCCTACAATTATGCGGCCCATCCAAACTAGACTTAACTATTTTAGCATTTGAGTTTAAAAAGAGCAGTGAAATCAATAGTTACAAGTTTTCCTTGCCTTCAGATAAAAATATATTTTTCCTCTTCTCCCCAACATCACAAGTCAAAGGAGAATAGCAATCCAATAGTTTGGATTAAATGATTGAGTCATTCATTCATTCATTCATTCCTGCAATAGAATAGAATAATAACAGAGTTGAAAAGAACCTTGGTCTTGTACTCCAGCCTCCTGCTCAGGCAGGAAACCCTATTTCAGACAAATGGTTGCCAAATCTTTTCTTTAAAATCTCCAGTATTGGAGCACTCACAGCTTCTGGAGGCAAGCATTCCACTGATTAATTGTTCTAACTGTCAGGAAATTTCTCCTTAGTTCTAGGCTTCTCTCCTTGATTAGGTTCCATTCATTGCTTCTTGTCCTGCCCTCAGGTGCTTTCGAGAATAGCTTGACTCCCTCTTCTTTGTGGCAGCCCTTGAGATATTGGAAAACTGCTGTCATGTCACCCCTAGATCTTCTTTTCATCATTTTTTCCTGTTTTACCATTCTGTTTTAAAGAGTGTTTTGCCATTCCATTTCTTTATTCAAATGCAATGTTTATTGAAACACACCATAATGTGATTTAATAAGCTAATTTGTCTATCACATTTGTTATTACAATCACACTTAAAATGCAAAATCTTACGGCTGTGAATTCTCTCTCATATGAGTAATCAAATCCTGCTTAAAAAAAAAAAAAAAAAGACTACCGAGGTTTTTGCTTCTCAGTTGCAATTTGCCAGCCATCCACATTGCATTTAACAGGTACAAGTTGGTTTTGCCCCCTTTCAAATGCATTTTTCCCCCATTTGGTAGATACAGAATGCTCAAAATTCTGGATACATTGCAAGTTACAGAAAGGCATTGCATAACAGTATGATATCAATGTTACACTATCTGCATACAGAAAAGGTGATTTTTCCAGCCTGGAAAGGAAATAATACATTGATGCTCCAAAATCTCTTTGATAGAGCATGCTCCCACATATCATAACAGCAACTAATGCTTTTATTTGCTTATTGTTGGGAATTCTGTTCATGTTCCACAAAACAAGCTTTCACCCATCAAAAATAGGAGACATAATGATCAAGCACTTCCAAGGTCCCTCATATAGAAATTCTTACAATTGTAAGGAAGGATATTTATCCAATTTTACCGAGGTTGGAGTTTTATGAAAGCCATGCTGTTTTCTCAATGTCAGTAGTTGCATTACATTAGAAGCATTTCTCTTGTCATCACAAGAGAGAAGTCTATAAATCAAGATTATGCTTGTAGCCTTCACTATACCTTTTTATAGAAAAGTAATTTTAATTAGTTGCACAGTCCAATGCTAGCATATGCATTAGAATATTTCATCTGCACAGAAGAAATATTATGGAGCTTGGCTTAAAATGTTAGTAAGCCAATAGAACACACTCCTCCTATGAAGAGGAAGATTCCATAGGCTCTATCCTTTCAGGGCTGCAAATGCAGTGATAAAAAATTCAATTTGCAATAACCAGATAGGATGTAGGCTGGGTTAATTGTAGAGTCCTCTAATCTTTGCTACAGGTTTAAAACTGGGAGTGTGTGTGTGTGTATGCGCGCGCACACGCTTCCTTCGCTCACATGCACAGCTTCTGCATATGCACAGAACCTTCTGCGCATGCGCAGAGCATCTTTGATGACATCTGGGCAGGTGGGCGGAGCTCCCCGCCACCACCACTACTGGTTCACCCAAACCGGGGCGAACCGGCAGAATACCACCTCTGGTGTAACCAGTGAGAACATAAATAATTGCTTCTAACTGCATTGTTATTTGTTTGGGATTATTTCTATAATATCCTTCTGATGATTCCTAAATTTAAAAAGTAGCATCACATCTTTGCCCAAGGACTTTGATATCATTACAATGTATTAACAGAAAAGCCTGGTTCTCCAGGCAAGGATGTTCACGTTGCAAGGATGCAACATACCTAAAAACAGAGTTTTAATTGCATCTTTTAAACTCTGCCAAGTAATTGCACCATTCCCCCAGGCTAAATGAATGGAAATTACAGCTGAATGCATAAAACCTGAAAAATAATGAATGAAACAAATACATTCCGTAGTGAAAGCCACAAACGTGGTAGTTTTCATAGCAAAGTCTTCCACATAGTTTCATCATGTTAAATCAGACTTTATTGGGTGGTTTTAAAAGATGCAGCCTCAATAATACCCCAATTCAGCTGCCAAACCTGATTTTTTTTTAAATGCCCCCTCCCCCCAAGAAATATACTTTTTTAAAAAAAAATCAGGTTTGGCAGCTGAATTGGGGTATTATTGAGGCTGCATCTTTTAAAACCACCCAATAAAGTCTGATTTAACATGATGAAACTATGTGGAAGACTTTGCTATGAAAACTACCACGTTTGTGNCTTTTAGGGTTATGTTACAGTGCGCTTCTGTCAGCACGCTGTTGTCGGCGCGCTGTTGTCGTGCGGTTTTGACGGTGCGGTTTTGTCACCGCGCTTTAGTCACACGCGCTTTAGTCTACCATGGTTTTGTGGTGGAACCTCCTTTCCTTTCCTTTCCTTCTTTCCTTTCCTTTCCTTTCCTTTCCTTTCCTTTCCTTTCCTTTCCTTTCCAGGGGTTGCAATAGGCAGCATGGCCTCCCCACAGCCTTTTGCTAGGATGCACCTCACCGAATTCCCCTCACTGACTCCCATGCTACTTCCCCTCCCCCCCCAGTCAGGCTGGTTGAAAACAATCCTCTGGCCTTTGCATCAACATTGGGAGGCATTCTTTGAGTTTTGCTCCTCTGACACCTCAACCATCTTGGGTTACGTTTCAGTTCAGGAAATAATGAGCACCGTTCAAGCGTTCCTCCCTTCCTGCAACCCAGAGACAGGATCCAGTGCAACCCCCAGAATTGTGGAAATGTCTAATCCTGAAGCAAACATGACCCTCTCACTCCTTTTTTTTTTAAAAAAGTGCTAACTACATACCAATAATCCTTGACTTACAACCACTATTGAGGACCGGGACTTCAGTTGCTAAGCAATGCAGTCATTAAATGAGTCGCACCCGGTTTTAGAATCTTTTTTTTTTGTGCTATGGTTGTTAAGTGAATCCATTGATTCTGCTTGTCAGAAGCCAGCTGGGAAGGTTGCAAATGGCGATCGCATGACCTGGCGACATGGCAACTGTGGTGAACACTTGCTGGTTGCTGGCCGCTGAAATTGTGATCATGTGATTGTAAGCAGGGGTGGGCTTCATAATTGTTAGCAAGGGCTTCTCTGCCGGTTGTGGGATGGGCGTGGCCATAGTGAGTGTGGCCATGTCAGCCTCCTCCACCATGGCGGGTTTTGTTTTTTTGCCTTCCCTGGGCTCTGGAGGCTTTCCTTGAGCCTCCAGGGGAAATGAAAATGGCCTCCCCAGCTCTGGAGGCTGGAAATGGGTCCATTCCCCAAACTTCCAGTAGGCCCATTTTTCGCCCTCCCCAAGCCTTCGTACACACCCTGCACTTACCTGCATCCAAAATGGGCTGCGTGAGGACTCCTGTGAGGGGTGGGGTAGGGTGGGCAGGGCCAGCCATAAGTGGGATTTGGGGGTTCTCCGAACTGCACAGAATCTTAGCTAGAAGTTCTCCCCAACTCCTGCGAACCTCCAGCAGCCCATCCCTGATTTATAAGTGCACTGAAATTGTCTTAAGTTGAAGGACTGGTTGTAAGTCACGTCTTTCAGCCCCACTGTAACTTTGAATGGTCGCTAAATGAATGTTTGTAAGTCGAGGACTACTTGGCTAATACTTTGCCTGATTCAAGACTCTCTTATTTGCCCACTAGAAGAGAGTCTTTGCTCTCCTGACACCCCAGCAGATATATGAACTGGAATATAGCCCCACCCCCCCAAATGGCTCTGTTTACTGTCAACAGTAGCAGGGCAATGTCTTGATTGGTTGGCTTTGTAAAGAGACATCTTAAAGATACACATTATAAAGGCAGCCCAGCATTAATTGCCATCTGAGAGAAAAGCCTTTTCTGCATTAAAAACAGTTTCATTCTAATGCATAGGTTTTTTTTTTTTTTAAAGTGAATGGATCTCTCGGGATCCCCTGCTGGCGGGGCCATTGGTTCAGGAGTGGAATCAACTTACCTTCGCTACCTGTTTATGCAAATGTGAGTGTGCGCACCTCCACGCATGCGCAGGATCTTTGATTTCTCACGATCAGCTGTGACACACAATTTAGATTAGCTAAAAAGCAGGAAATCTGATGATTCTAGTTAATATAAATCATATGTCACAGCTAATTGTTGGAAATACCCATTCGCCCGTACCAGTAGCATTTTTACTACTGGTTCAAGTGAACCCGTCTGAACTGGTAGCATTTCATCTCTGCATTGGTTGTATCGGCTGAACGTTCTAACAGCTGCAGGCCCTCAATGTGGAGAGAGCACCAAGCTGAGGAAAATCCCCCTAGAGATGCCGCTCTACTTTTTTTGTCTATTTCCTTGGAAAGCAAGATGTTCTAACATGCCCAGTTGACAGCCCAAACTGTGGTTAAAAAGGGACTCTTTTCAACTTTCCAAATCATGCCTGAGAGCAGAGGCCTCTTACCCTCCGCCTGCCCTGTTGATCCCTCAGTTTTGGATGGTGTGGTGAGCTTCTTCCGCCTGTGTTTCTTTCTGTCAATCATAGGAGACGGAGGAGGGTCTTTGCCACTGCTGCCAGGACTGGATAGTCCTTCTGCAGCCATGGATACTTCTGCAGGAACAGGTAGGAGAAACAGATGATGTGTCTGCTGGCTAATCGTTCTCACTGGGTCAGAGAAGTAGCCTTTCTTGGCACCCTCTCTGCTCCTGGGAGGGGCTTCTTGTTGTGTTCCGAACTTACCAGCTTTGGAAGAAGATACCGAGCGCTGCAAACGCTCTGGTTTGCCTAAGAGCTTGACTGCTGGGTCAACTGGAGGATTCAGCAGGCCCGGACTAGGGCTAGCTACGGAGAAGAAGGAATAAGCACACGCACCTGTTAGAATCAATGTGTAGCTGGTTTGGTCTTGTTACAATATTTGACATCTCAGGTAGGTTTGATCTTAAGTGCCCATTTACTGGAGATCTTTCAAGATGCAGAAGTTGAGAAGGCAACCAGGTGTCTCCTGCATGAAAGTTCTACGCACGGAAGTAAGTTAAAGCTTGTAATGGGATTCTAATTTCTTTGACCAGAGCTGAAGGACGAGGAGGACACCAGCAACCTGGAGGTGGTTAATCAAACAGGGCTTTTATGTTGAACTTCAGAAGAATCTCAACCTACCTAGGACTGAGCCTGAAGCCATCTTCCAATTTCCCAGTGACTACAGTAACACATCTCCCATTAGCTATCAGTAGTGGAAGCATTCCATGGGACGCAACTAAAGGATTAATTAGTTCCTTTAAGGATATTCTGAAGAAATGTTTGTAGCTGCCATCTTGATATTGTTGAGATAAACCAGCATTATCTCCTGTCACAGCCCCCCCCCCCCCTCCATCTTTTAAGAAGTATTCTTATTTTTTCAGGCTTATAAGCCTTTCTCATTGATTCTAAGCAGCATCTTTGGAAATTCAGACGACAAACAAATAATTAATCATAGTTATTGTACTTTTTGGAGTATGATGCACTTCCCCCTCTTAAAAGTGGGCGATTACCAGCGATGTACAGTGGCGATCCCTGCAGCCTGGAACAGGTCTAAAATGGAGCGTGCAGAGGCTGAAAAAGTGACAGAGAGAGGCCAAAAATGCGATGCGCGGAGGCCAAAAATGCGACACACAGAGGCGGCAATGGGCTGTGGTGATCCCCACAGCCTGGAACAGGTGACTGGCAGTATTCCGGGAGGCCAGTCCAATTGCCAATCAGCTGCTCATGCTGAAACCAGGCTGTGATAATATGCTGAAGCTGACCAGGCTGTTTGCTCTTTGCTGCAAGGACGCTAGCCAGATGAATACCGATGGATGCTGGTAGGCAGAGGCCGATTTTTTTTTCTTTTCTAACCCTAACCCCAAAAACTAATGTGCATCTTATACTCCGGAGTGTCTTATACTCTGAAAAAAATGGGTATATCAAAAATAATAATAGAACAAATCAATAGGAAAAGAAAAAACATTTAAATTCCCAGGAGACACCATCACAATCAATAAACCAAAAATTAAAATATTCTTCCTCACTAGAGGGAATAGGAACAACATTCCAGTCTCATGGAACAGTCAGGTTTCAATGGACTTTCTAAAAGCCAGGAAGGAAGGGATCATTCTAATGTCTGGGCGTGAGCTACTCCAGAGGAGGGAGGCTATAATTGAAAAGGAACCTTTCAAGATCCCTGCAAATGGCTATATCTGAGCAAAGTGGCCTGGACTAAGCCCACTGCTCAGTCTTATCTATGGCCAAACAGTGTCTCCCCCCCCCCCCATGAATCAGACAGCAAAAACTGGTGGTCATTTGAGATGACTTTTCATTTTTCCAAATAATGTCCCAGCTGGTATTGAATGGGAAGGTCTCCTGTAGATGTCACTATTGGATTATTATACTGTGCACAGTTTCTGCACCGGAGCTCGGGGTGGTGGTGGTAACACATGGCTTTCCAACTTTATGAATTCAATTTGAACAATCACTTGCTTCAATTAACGTTGCAACTCAAAGAGGAAGCATTAGGAATTTTATGTCAAATTTGATTTGGTGTGATGTTCAGCTAATTGTCCAGACTGAACATTAATCAGAAAAACTGCTATTTGATTATAGATATATTTTTCCCATACAGTAGGAGAAATCTGCAATAATGGCCAAAAGCCAAAGGCTTTGGTTCATTTATTGGCCAAATTTGTGTGAAAGAGAAAACAGTCGAAGTACCGGTAGCTTCTCCTTAGAGGTGTCATTCCATATCACATTTTCAGCAGAAAGCATTTAAAGAAAAGTGTGATGCTAACACTTGACAAACTTCCCAAGTATGTAGCCTCACAGATATATGCACATTAATATGCAGTTGTGCAAAAAGTATGTAGATGTGATCTATATAAACTGGTTGGCTGTAACTTCTTACCCTGAGCCCACTAGGGGAAAAACAAACAGTGCTTAATCGTATCGGCTTTCTCTCTCTTCCCGCTTCCTCCCAGGTACAATTTTGTAATGCTTGAGGATACCCTCATTTAAAAACACCACCTGTTCTTCATACATTCTTTCTATCATGTTCTTGTGGGCTGTTGCCAAGTAAGGCTAAAGAAAGGTGTGACTACTGGCACATTGTAGTGCAAAAGGAGGCGAGGAGGAGGGACAGTGCAGGGGATTCTCCCTCCTTACTCTTACACAGAAAACTGTAAATGAAGGCATCACAATGAATCACAGTGTGAATTCGCAAAGTAATTATATACACACCTTGGCTGGCAAAAAGCTTGTAGTATTCCTCCCTGGGCTGTTTTACCAGAGTCTTAGTTCCCACTGCCACAATAAGAGTGCCCTGCCACTCAGCCTGGCAGCTTTTCTTACAGCAGTGATGCCAACCAGTCCCTGAATCCTCTCTCCCTATGTCTATTTTGCCTGAGATAGCGCAGCTCACTTACTACTGCTGTCCCCAACTCCAACGCTGCTCATGTCTTTCACCAGGCCGTTGATACTTGAGGAGGCGCCACAGGCAGAGATGGCTCTGGGTGGGCGTTTGCCCGGTACTTTTACAGTGGTGCGAAGGAGATCCATTTCTTTCCCATGGGTTCCATGGATATAATCCTAGGGAGGCAGGAAGAATAGGTGGGAAAACTTAGGAAGCTGGACATCAGCCAAACATGGGCTTTTGAAGTGGTCTCATTCTGGAATTCTTAACCAGCCTGATTCCATGGTTCACCTGAGAAGGTGTCTCTTGAACCTATATTTCTCTCCAGGTCATGTCAGATGCTATTTTCACAGCCATTTAGGGCAATTATCGTGCACACAAAAAAATGACAAGCTATAGAACCATGATGGCGGACCTATGGCACACGTGCCATAGGTGGCATGCAGAGCTCTCTCTGCGGGCACATGAGCCATTGCCCCAGCTCTACCATGCATGTACGTACACTTCCCACCAGCTGATTTTCGGGTCTCTGCCACACATGCTCAGGGGCTTGGGCGCATGCGGGAGATGCATGTGCATGCACAGAGGGTTGGGCGCACGTGTTGGGGTCATGTGTGCATGCATGGGCGGTGGGGAGCACAGGGGGGTCACACACACGTGTGTGGGGTGAGTGCGCATACGTGCGAGGGTTGAGGAGGTTGTGCATGCATGCATGGGGGCGGGGTAGACACAGGGGGTCACGCACACATGTACGGGGGCAGGGCACGTGCAGGGGGGGTGTCACACACACATTGCATTATAGGTATCGGCACGCAGTGATAAAAAGGTTAGCCATCACTGCTCAAGAACAATCCTTTCTTATCTCTGTGCATTTGGATATATTTGATTTACAACTTCCACATTTCCCAGCTCTCCTGGGGTTTGGCATCAAAGGAAGTAGGTGGAAGAAAGTGGATCCAGGGGGAGAGGAGTTAAATCCGAATGACATCTTGCACATTTCACAAATCAGAGATTTTTCACTATATTCCTCAATCAGTTTTGACTTAAGGGATCAATGAAATGGAGCATACAGTAATATATTTGAGATTCCTTTCCTCTAAAAGAGCGCTTGCCTTGGATAAACCCATCCCCAAATTCCCGTGGAATGCAACGAAAATCAATACGGTGGAATACAACACCCGATCCTTCATGACTTAATTATAATAAGGAAAAAATAGGCTGGGCAGAGATGATGGGAACTGAAACCCTAACACTTCTAAAAGGCGCTATGCTGAGGAAAGGCTGCATTTCAAGGTTTTAGTAGCTCTCTTCCTGGCATAAAAATAATGGGCATGGATACACGCTTCCTGTAGCTGAAACCTTCCAGTTCGCTTCAAAAGCCGTGTTTTTCTCCCAAGGGTTCCTATCAAAATCCTACCAATTTGCTTACTCTGTGAATCAGATCAGATCATCTAGGGACACATGTCACACTCTGTTCTACTGACAAGGAACTTACATTAATGCTGGGGTGATAGAAGAGAAGACCATTACTGGACAGAGTGACATACTTTTTCTTCCACTCCTTGTTCAGAGAATTCCCACTTCGTTTCAGCAAGAAGCTCTATCGGGAGACACAATGGTCATTAGCCAAGCCAGAGTTTCATTTGTTTTGTTTACCCTAAAATCAAAGCGGCTGGGACAGCGTACACAGTACAAGAAAACAGTAAGATTAAAAACCAAGCCAAAACATTGTAAATTAAAAACAGCTAAAGAAGGAACGAAAGCCGCGATAATATTTGAAAAGCTGAAGCAAAGTTAGAAACAGAGATGTTTTAGAAAACGGCTTTGACTGGAGGGAAGACACAACTGAAGGCAAGGAAAATAAAATAAATTTTCCCCAAAGCCTGGAAAAATGAAGCAATCTTTGGGTAGCATTTCAGACTTAATGAAGATTGCCCTGTGCCTTCCCTGGCTAAGGCAAAGCATTAAGAGGACTGACAAACAGTGCTCAAGCCAAAGTGGAAGGTTCACCTGTTTGATGGGTATAGCTCTCCCACTGCCCGTGTTGTCACCTCGGCTATCCAGGCTCCGCTTCTCTGTATCACTCCCTCTGCGATTCTACAAGGAGACAATTCAAATATCTCAGCTGACTTTAGCCCAGAAGAGAACAAAAAGGCTCCAGCGCCTCCCCACCAGTAATCAGCAACCAGATCAGCATAAATTAACTCCAAAGTCAACTATGAAGTAAGCAATACCCCAATCAATAAACTGCCAAAGAGCCATTAGTAAACAGCCCAACCAAAGATTCCCTAAGATCACCCCACACCCACACAGACAGGCAAGACACCAGAATATAAACTGANACCTTGAGCCGGTGAGATTTGAACTGCCGAACTGCAGCTAGCAGTCAGCTGAAGTAGCCTGCAGTACTGCATTCTAACCACTCACCACCTCGGTTCAAATGGACAGTGAATGATAATCAATGATGGCCAGGCAATTCCTCACCAGGTGAGGGCTCTGACAGGAACCAGGGCTGTGGTAGGGAGCAGAATTTTCTGCAAGCAAGCCCAAGCCATGGATGAGGTAGGGCAGGGGAATGTACTGATTGCATAAAAAGTAATCCTTGCAATGCCAGCTTCCCTTCTCTTTTTCCCTTTTGCAGGAGAATCAGGGCAGGGAAGTGGGAATTGGTTGGTTGGAATGGTAAACTATCACAATCCATCTGAGATAAAAGTGCTAAGGCATCCCTTGAGATCAGCAAAGCTTAAGCACTTTTATCTCAGATGGATCACTTGTCAGGCCTGGAGGCCATCTTTTCTTTTGTATCTTAAAGGCTTCCACACTTGGTGGGAAAATGGGAGGGGTGTTGCATAGAGTTGGTAGAGTTATTTAGCCATAACAACATTCTTTTCTCTGGGAGTCAAGGACGTTCAGCCTGCACCTGGAGTGGCGTGACTAGGAGGCATCTCCAGTTGGGATAGTGGATCGATTGGAACATATGATGGACATGTGGGTGCAGGGGAAGGTACTTGGACTTTCTTTTGGGTGGGGAAAACCCAGGAGTTTTCAGATTCGGGTTTTCCCAGAAGTGCCAATATGACATCTCCAATAAAATAGATCTTCGAGGAATTAATTGCCTCGGAGTCTTACTTGGTTGGGGGTGTTACTTGGAACTCTGACATTACTTTTATTTCTGATGGATTCCTTTTATCTCTGATGGATCACTTTTATGTCAGATGGATCAGATTCTATTTTGCTCCCACAATTGTCTTTGCTGGGTAAAGCTTCAAAATCAAAAACCACAGTGGGGGCAAAAATTCAGAGTTATTTCTAATGCCAGTGGTGGAATACTAAAGTATTGATTATCACTGGACTTGGAACAGGAGATCCAAGGTTAAATCTTCACTCAGTGATCCATGACCACTTCTTCTGGGAAGAATAATTAAGAAAATGGAAATGGAGAGTCAGTGGGAGTCTGGGGAAAGGGCCATACTTGCATCAGCATAAAGGACCAAGGGGTTTCTGCCCTGTTCCCACTCCTCAACAGGTCAAATGACTCTACCACCAACACGATAATCTACAAAATGTGTCGGTCTTTACGTACCTTGGAATTGCTATAAATTTACCATCTACTTGAGGGAGAAAACACTCTCCTTTAGAACAGCCAGGGATGATCCTAAACCTATCTCACTCATGGGTTGGAAGCAAGATGAAGACAGAATCATGGGGATGTGGCCAGGGGTGGGTTTCAAAAATTGCAGCAATGGGTTTGCTGCCCTGTTGCTGGGTGGGCGAGGCCTAGTCAGCCTCCTACACCATGTTGGGGTATGTGTGTGTTTCCGCTCTCCCCAGGCTCTGGAGGATTTCCTCGAGCCTCTGGGAGGGCGAAAATTGCTTCCTCCAGGCTCTGGAGGCCCACCCAGCAACAGGCCCATTTCTGGACTTCCGGAACTTCTGGTATGCCCGTTTTTCGGCCTCCCCGAGCCTCTATGCGGACCCTGCATTTACCTGGCAAGATGAACAGGCCACGTGGAGATACCTGGGAGGGGGCGGGGTGAGATGGGCATGGCCAGCCAGGGGTGGCATTTGGGGGTTCACCGAACTGGGTAGAATCCTAGCTAGAGGATCACCCGAACCCATGTGAACCCCCAGCAGCCCACTGCCACATCATGTGGCAGTCTATAAAGAATTCATGATCCCACTGCTAATAAATACAAATGTGGAAAGGCTCTCTAGGTTTCTGGGCTCTTCTTTCTATACCCATTTGTCTTTCAAGAAGCCTGCTTGTGCACTGCCAAAAATTGTGGAGCCCTATGTTCTCCAGCAAACAGTGTGAAATGTGAATGGGTCTTAGCGTTATATGCACGTGTAGGGAAAGTACACGGAGCTAGAACAGAACCTTCTATTGTTTTGGCTGCGTACAGCAGGAGACTCTGGAAGTACTGGAAAAGTTCCCTCCTGGAGAATCTACTGATTTTTATGGTCCTGTTTATTTGCACTTTGGGGGCTCATCTGATGATCTGACATATTCCTCCCAAAGCAGTTCTGATCGAATTTCAGACTAAGTTCAAAAACTCTCATTCTGAAGGAATTTTAGGAACTTAGTGTTGTGGCCTGCCAGCAGCCAGTAGAGCTGGCAATAGAGTCGAACAGTGAGGAGGTTTGGGAAGAGCATGGGCCAGTCCTGGAGGCTGGGGAAGGCTCAGACAAGGGGTCTCCATCGGAAGCAGAGACAGGGCCGAGGCCATCTGGCAGTGATCAGATGCCTATGGAGCTAGACAGCAGTGAGGCAGAGGAACAGCTTGAGCCTGTTCCCAGTGTGCACATGCNTGTTAACTTTCTAAGCAGTTCAGAGAACTGGTTGTTGGAAGAAATCTCCTTTTCTTTTTTCCACTTTACAGGGCTAATCCTGTAAGGAAGGCAGGAAGGAAACATTCTGGGGTTGTTTCTAGCCTAATCTTTATTGCCCTGCTTATAGAAACTGCCTCTTTGGTTAGCCCTTATTACATTGTAACAGCTAAGAAGAAACGCCTATTGATGTGAGTGATGTTGAGTTGGCCACGCCCACCCGGTCACATGACCACTGAGGCACGCCTACCCAGCTGGTCATTAGGGGAGAGAACCGGTTGTTAAATTACTTGAATCCCACTACTTTATCAGGAGACGTTTCTATAAAAATAATTCACTTTAAAAATGGGGTACACATTGTAATACAATATAGATTTTTTTGAACATTGGCTTTCATTAGCCTTTAGCCAAAGGAGGGCATCAGGTTGATTTCCCCTGGCTTAGAAACAGCATCATGTGAACTCAGATATTTTATAAACCAGGGATGTGTGATTCTCTAGACATTGGATCTGGAACAAGTCTCACTGCCTCTCACCATCAGATACACTTGAAAGTGAAGAGAACAATGGGAATTGAAAATGGTGCTTATGTTACCTGCTTCTGAGATCACAATGTGTAGGTTTTATTGAAGTCTGTTTTTTCCCCCCACTGGGATTCAGCAAGACTTAATCCTAGGTGTATCCTGTAATGGCTGTAGCCTTAGGATACCTTTTAGAGTGCAAACTTATGAATTGTTTTTGCAAAAACTTTCTTTGATAAACATCTGCCCCCACCCAACGCTTTGGGGATAATATTTACCTGTCTAGCACTGACTTACATGAATTACCCAAAATATACCCAACACTCTTCAACATACATGCATTGCAGATAGAGAGAGAGAGATTGATCGCAATGAGCAAGTTTACCATATCAGTAAAAAGATTTGTTTTTAATCTTCAGCATTATTTATCTCTTTCTTGAGACCTCCTGAGAAATGCCACTTGACCCAGGAACAATTTTTTAAAATAGGTGCTGCTTTGAGTGAATAATAAGCATCACAGATTCTGATACAGGAATCTGACCACAAAAGGCACCAAGCTAGGAACAGGCTAAGAAGTGTTAAAGAAAGAGGCTTCAAGCATTTTGGATACCAGGAATGATGGAGACAACTTCACACCATATTTGATTACTTCATTAACTATTTTTCTAGGGTGTGTGCTGCACACTGAACAATAGCCAAACGTGCTGGGCTTGTACAATACTCTAGACCAGGGGTATCAAACTCAATTTCATTGAGGGCCGTATCAGGGTTGTGTTTCACCTTGGGGGTGGGGTGTGTGGCCAAGGCAGGTGTGGCCAGTTTGATGTCACCCATGTCAGGGATGGGGTGGTGGCCCCTGTGGTGGCCTGAGTCCTCTTCCAGTGAAAATGGGCTCCCAAGCTCCGTTTTGATTGTGCCAGCCTCTTGCAGCCCTCTGCCAGCAAAAATGGAGCTTGGGAATGCCTCCTGCGGCCGTCACAAGCTCTGTTTTAGGCTGTGATGGCCTCCTGCAACCCTCTGCCAGCAAAAACAGAGCTTAGGAGTGCTGCATGCAGCCCTCCTGAGCTCCATTTTCGATGGCAGAGGCAGTGTGGGCCGGTCCATCACTGTTTCCAGGGTGGCCCCGCGGGCCCTATCTAAGCGCCCCGTGGGCTGAATTCGGCCCCTAGACCATGAGTTTGACACCCCTGCTCTAGACCCCACACAAACCTTACCAAAATGATAAGTGGTCAAGCTTAGCATGTTTATAATTGACTTTGCCATGAGAACTCAGCTGCTGAGCTTGTCTATCATTAGATCATCTTTGAAAAGAGGGTCGGGAGACCAGAGAATCCAGAAAAGAGCTATCAAGATTGGAAGCTGCTGTCTACAAGAACGCAGGCAGAGATAGATCCATCCCAAAACACTAAATGACTAGGAGAGGAAAGCAGTTTTCCTTTACCCTGGATAAATCAATGAACAGCTGGAATCTGGCCAAATGCCCTTATAATGACTGTGTCTTGTTTGACCTGACTAAGGTCATCCAGCCCTTGGCTTTCTCTCCCTAGTCTTCCATTCTGATGGACTTCTGGAAGAAACTCACAGTGAACAGACTGGTCCGGCGTTTGGTCCCACGTTGCAGGGAGCTGGGTGTGCCAATTATAGCTGAAGCCTCACTGCGCAGCTCCCGATGACTGATATTGGGTGTGGAAGGAAGGGATGAAGAGTAGTCACTTGTATGGCCACCATTACTCGCCTAGAAAAGAATCCAGAAAGACTTAGGCCTACGGGAAGGAGGAAAGCCCCAGTATGAGAGCGACCACCTTGATTGCTAAGTGTTCATACATAGTTCTACTTCGTTTTGAATATCCATGAGCATTCGCTTAGGTCAGAGATGGCTAACCTTTTTGTTGTCGCCGAATGTGCATGTGCAGCCACACCCATAATGCATCTCTCATTCAAACTTTACCTAACTGGCATTATGGCAGCTAAGTTTAAGGATATTTCCCACACCTGAATATATATAGATTATATGATCCAAATTATTTGCAGTCCACATACAATCTGTCTGTTGCAAAGCCACAATGCTCCACTCCAATTTATTTAATTCTTTTGCCTGAGCAACTGGGCTGGTGTTGCAATTGCACTACAGGCAGACATTTCTCCAATCTGTGGGTCCTTTGGACCTCTTTTTCACCTTTTGCACAGGACCCACATGGAAGGGATTTAAATCTCTGAGAAGAGAACCCAGTGTCTTTCCACCAAGCCAGCTTTTTCCTTCCAAGATGCTAGGGACCTGGGGAAATTTACATCCTTTCTGAAGAAACATGATTCCTGAAAGGAAGAAAAAGACATGGCCTGCATTTGTACAGAGTAGCTGCCACCCACCGGTGTAGAAACTGCTGAATGGCTGGGTGTGCTGGGCAAAGATTTGCAGGATGCAAGCAGCTGCTGTTGCTTCTTCATGTTCACAATCTTCTGGGCAACTGGAATAGGAAGGGAGAGACGGGTAGGAAAGTCAGATGGTGGCTGAGGCTTTCCAACTGCCCCATCCAAGAGCAATGGAGAGACCTGTCATAAGAGAACTGAGATTCTGTCCAACCCATAATTGTTCCCCCCTTAAGGACCAGGTCACAAATTCAAACATTTTTGATTCTCCACCCACTCACTCTGTGAACCCATCCAGCAATTATCACTTCAATGTGTTGTGATCTTGTGCTAGAGGGAAGTATGTGAGAACATAGTTATATGTGTGGGACGGATCATATGTGTCTTCCTGTGAAAAGTCCCTGATGGGAAGATAATGATCAGGTTAAAATAAAACACAGTGTGATTAGCCTCACTCATATAGACACATTCTGAAGATGTTCTTCCCTCCAATCTTGTGGGTTACTATAAATACGCAACTTCCATATCCTTTACAACAGGAGTCCTCAACCCCAGCCTATGGACCGGCACCAGGTCGCTGCATGCCAGAAACTGGGCCATGCCAATCAAGTGAAGCCCCATCTGTGGGATGCAGGCAGCACGCAAAACCACGTTCCCTCTGGTCCAAGGAAAAATCTTTTTTCATGGAACCAGCCTCTGTGCCCAAAAAGTTGGAGGCCTCTGTGCTACAGGATGAAACTGATTGTTCTTGCACTTTATAGACAATTTGAAATCAAAACCACTCAGGAAACAGCAGAACAGCCATTACAGGAATGAAACCCTACGCAAGTCAGTAACTTATCCCCACAGTGTCTTATCTCTGTTACTCTCAGTGTGAAGCCCCTGTGTGTCCAATATTAGCAGTTTGCCTCAATATTTTATGACACGAGCATTTCTTCTGAAAATGTTGAACTCCTCCACAAACCGCCTCTTTGCCTTTGGTTGTTGAAAGTGATAGGTCTCAGGGGGCTGATAGAGTGCAAACTCAACACAAGAAGAGAAGGAGCAGCTCTAGGTCAGGTTCACTCTCACAGTCTAGTTGTATCATGTGTATTGAACTTTTCCCATGCTCAGAATGGTCCTCGGAAACAACAAAATAAGCATACTTTTTTGCGGAGGGGTGGGGGTGAGTGAGGGGGAAAGTGACATCAGAAACGGATGACACAAATTTAAACACTGGTAGAAAAGTGTGCAAGTGCCCTGCTGCAGGGGTGGGTTCTGACTGCTGCAACTGCCGGTTTGCTCAGGGACACGCTGAGTGTGCATGCTTGATGCATGCTATGCGTGCATGCACAGTACTAAAAAAATGTGCAGAAACAGAAAACAAGATGGCGCCGCCTATGGCACTGCTGATAGAACCAGTTCGGGGGTGTGGCAGGCCAGGTTACTACCTACTCAGCTAAACCGGTCCGAACCAGTAAGAACCCACCTCTGCCCTGTTTCCCTGAAAATAAGACCTCCCTGGATAATAAGCCCAATTGGGCTTTTGAGCACATGCGCTCAAATAATCCCAAAATGAGCCCTCTTTGAAAATATTGCAATACACCAGCAGCCATGAGGTAGCAATAGCAATAGCAGTAGACTTATATACCGCTTCATAGGCCTTTCAGGCCTCTCTAAGCGGTTTACAGAGAGTCAGCATATTGCCCC